TTCTGCTCATTAACTGCACAGTGTTGGTCAAGTTTCTTGGCCTAGCTTATTTTCTTGTCTTAAATAATAGAAATGAAAAAAAGACCTATCACCGGAGCGAAACCACCATTAGGCTGTCCTCAGCAAGTCTGATTGATTGATGTCCTCCTTTGGTGGATTGATGCCCCATTCTGATTGGTTGTTGGTCAAGCCACACCAGTACCATAAATATCCTGATCCTAAATATCACTCCTGCCTAGTTTATAGCACTGCTGTGAGAAATGAGCAAAGCAATATAAAGAAAGTGCTTAGCTTGGACCAGTTTCTATTGGTATTTTTAATGAAATAACTTGTGTTCCCTAGTTGTTATGGATTGAAGCCCTAACCCTCAGTACCTAAGACTGTAGTGTCATCTGGAAATAGGCTCATTACAGATGTGGTTTGTTATGTTTGGGTGAGGAGGGAATGTACTGAGTAGGCAAGGCTTCTAATCCAGTACACCTGGTGTGCCTGTAAGAAGGTCATATGAAGGCTCGGGGAGGAGGGCACGTATTGTAATAAAGGCAAAGATTCCAGTGGGACATCTGCAAGGTACAGGAAGCCAAGGGTCACCAGCCATCTCCAGAAACCAGGAGAAAACAATGGAATAGATTCTCCATGATAGCCTTCACAAAAAGCCAACCTGGCCAGCATCTTGTTTTGGGTTTTTTACTATCCAGAGTTATAAAACAATATTGCTGTGTTTAAAGCTACCTATTTGTAGTTGTTGTAGAAGCCCTAGGAAACAAATGTAGTGTTATACTGGGTATGTTCCTGAAAGCCACTAAGACCATGAATTCATAAAGTACAAGGGAAGAGGAGACCTTAGCTTCATTTTGGTCCTATGTAGTCACCTTTGATGCTTGAAACCCCCTTTTCAGCATTCTCACTAAATTGTGTTTTGACTTGCACCAGAATATCTCCAGATCAGGAACTCACTACCCAGGACAACAGCCAGTATCTCTCCCTACTAGAAAAAATATTCTTTATATTGGGCCAAAATCTCTTTTCCTTGCAGATCCTCCCATTTTGGTGGGAACTTCCTGGAACTTTTTACCATATAAAACCCTCTCCCTCAGCATTCACCAGCCATTCCAATTCACAATCATTGAACAAACCATGTTCTCGCATCTATCAGAGTCTTAGCAAATACAGTTTCTTTTTCGTATAATGAAATTTTCCTTTCTCAATCTTAGGAGTCATCTATTAAGATCCATTTCGGTTCTGTCTCCCGATAGTATAGGTTATTCTGTGCGAAAAAGCAATCTCAGAGTCTGTTCTTCAAAAACCAAAGGATTGTCTCACACACTGCACAACCACCATGACTCAGCTGGGGAGCTCTGTTCATCATAGTCTCTCAGCGACTCAGGCCAGCAAGGCAGCCACCATCTTGAATATACCTTCCTGGTCACCATGGGAAGGAGAAAGCTCTGGAAAATGTCAAGTGTGCCAGCCCACAAGTGATAAGCACCATTTCCTCCCACACAGTTCATTAACCAAAACTAGTGACAAGGTCCCACCTAAACAAAAGGGAGCTGGAAAATGTGGTCCTACTGTGCGCTTGGAAAGTCAGATTAGAAATACCTGGCAAAGGCACTGCGGGTTGCTCCATCCTCTCTGTCTGTCTGTCTGTCTGTCTGTCTGTCTCTCTCTGCCAGCTGGGCAGCACCAGCACTTCATGTGTCTGTTATTCCTGGTCATAATCTCGCTGCACTGCCATTCTATTTGCTTGCATTTTTGTCTCCTCCTTGAGATTCAGAGTTTCTCAAGGACTGAAGCAGATCACACTAAACGTTTGATGGAATCATGCATTTAAGAACAGTAACATAATCCACAAGAAAAGCTACATTCCTTACATGGTTGGCAGGGCCTTACATGACCTGGACCCTGCCACTTCTCTGTGGCTTATCCTAGCCCCAGCTGTGCTGTCACTGGGACTCAGCTGGTCCACCCTGCTGCCTCGGCCCTCACACTTGCTGTCCAGGGCTGAGCAGCACAGCCTCTGCCAGTTGCCGGGCTCAGTACCCCACTTCCCTCATCCTATCAGAGAAGCCTTTCCAGAACTTGTTCTATTCAATCACCACACCCCCCCACACACACCCAGGTACCTCTTTGGATTCCTGTCTTATATTTTTCTCCTTAGAACTTACTACTTACTGAGGCAAACATCCACAAATGTATATTACATTATTACATATTAAATATCATGTACTATACATTACATATGTATTTCTGATGTCTGTTTCTTTATTGTCTGTTCCTCAGTCTGGCATCCACATCCTTGTGAATGTAACTTCAGTGAGCAAAAGGCTGAGGTGCAACAGGTACAATATATATCTGCCAGATGAATAAGTGACAGAGGAACAAATCTATGTCTCATGTCTCTGGATCAAAATACTAAATTCCTCCCTCTCAAATGACTAGATTTTAAACCCTTTCAATCTACATGCCACCCATAAGTGATCGATGATAGTACAGAGCAGAATAACCCTTATTTGTCTTTTGTTTTGTATTTTAATTAATAAAGTTCAAGTTTAAATAATAATTTGTGAGTTACAAATTTACTTATTGACTAAAACTTTTGTGTTTTTCATATATAAAACTGTAACTTTTCCTCTGTCTAGAATCTTGTTGTTATTTTGGACCCCATTTACCCCATCCTATCAGAAAAGCCTTTCCAGAGCCTGCTCTATCTGATATCACCACGCCCCCTCCACACACACCACAGTACCTCTTCAGATTCCTGTCTTCTTTTTCTCCTGACATACTTGTCACTTGTCTTTGTTTTCATTTTTAACATCATTTATTTACTTATCCTGATTTATTGAGTGTATATTATGTGCAAAATCTACAGTTAAGTGCCAATGAGTATTATGTGACAATCTTATAATTCCCATAAGAAAAAGGTGGGTCAGAGAGATGGATTTTAGTTCAGCAGGAGAGATAGAAAGGCCCCTTCTCTGAGTAAAATGGCTGATGGCAGAGCCCTCAACAATAGATCACAGTGTACAACAGAGTAGCGACATTACAGAAATGCCATGCCTGGAGCCCCGAAGATGAAAAGGCAAGTGGATCCCCAGAGGAGAAGGGTTTAGAAAGATCTCACAGTTGTAAGGTCAGTTTGGCTTAGACACATCACTCCACGTATCTTCAAAGTAGATCTGCCTTCTCTGAACGTGCCAATGGATCACTATCTTCCACAGCACTGAGGACCTCACCCATCTCTGTTCAAGGGTATGCTGAGGGTTAGGCTGACTTGGTGTACACTGATAAAGAAGACATGGCATATATTCCAGCAATTTCAGGGTGGTCCTTGAATAGAAGAGCCTGAATAATTATTCTACATGGTTGCTAACCATATTTATTTTCTTTAGTTAATGTCAGTTACTGGATAAATATTGTACATAGTAACTTACTTGTCACTCCAGCCCTATAAGGTGGGTACTGTCACTACCTCCTCTTTACATGTAGGGGAATTAAGAGACAGGGAGATTAAGCAATCTTCCCACCTCTGGACAGTGAAGAGGCTGGGGTGCGAGCCTGAGCATCTGACTCAGGAGTCCATGGTCCCAACTCTAGTCTGTTTTGCTTCCTCTTAATTGAAAATAAGGACAGACTATTGTCCAGGCCATCACATAAGGGCTGAGTAAGAAACATCTTTTTATGCCAGTCACTAAGCCAGGCTACTCCTGATTGAATCAGCCCTCAGACATCGCCCCCAGCTGAAACTGAAAAGAACAGTGAATAACTGGAGTTAATGGCGAGGGATTAAATGAATTGGAAGATGATTCAACCTTTTACTCACTTACTCATCCATTCATCTGTTTATACATCCTTTTACACCTCTTACTCAAAATCTATGTACTGAGCACCGTCACTGTCCTGCACACACAGCCACATGCTACCGATGAGACCCTGTCTGACCTAAATGGATGCAGAAGTTCAGGAGGGGAAACAGACAAAGGAAACCAGGGGTGTAGCATGGTAAGACGGTCAAGAAGGGCTCACACAGGAGTTTAGGGGGTTAATTCTCCCTGCATTTGGGACAGTGCACAAGGGGCCAGGAGGGAAAAGATGAGAGAAGAATGTTTCATGGGGGAAAGTAATATTAACTCAACCCCAAACAAAATTTTCTAATCTTAGTATTTCTGGGAAGAGTCTAAAATGTATGCAATTTCCGCTAGTGATAAGAAAGAAAATTGAACACCTTCTTCAAGAAAGGCACTGGCAATAGTCATTGGAACACAGGTGTCAGGCCTGCATTCAAATCCTCCCCTCTCTAGACAGAAAGTGTGCACTGACAGATGAGTAAGTGTGTGTGTGTGGTTTTTTTCTCTTTCCCATGGGGAATAAAAAGGGAGTCTGATTTTTGTTAAACCTCTTTTTATTACTGTGGATTTATTGTGTTCTGTGGTTCTTGGTGACTAACCAACAGACGAGTTAATTTATTATTTTAGTAGTTTAAACAAGAGCTGGGAAGAAAGGCACCCTGTGATCACAGCGCACTGGAACTGTACTAATGAGAAGATTAAAAGAAAGTTCAGCTCACAGAGACCAAGATAATCACAAATGTTCCTGCGGATAATTGACAGTCACAATTATCTGGAACTACACTATGTGCCTGTTTGGTTGTTCTTAAGTCAGCCTATATTAATTAGATAAGTAGCAAATAAGTTATTTGGAAGTGGCTGGTGGGGCTCCTCCATAACAAATATCTGGTGACATATGAGAGGACTCCTAAGGTTCCACAGTGCCTTCATCCTCAGTTGTCATCTAGGAACTATCTGCCTCCCTCCTCATGTTCTTATCCTTTATGAAGAAGCATCATCCATTGCCGGGTCCTCCAGGGAACCAAGTCCTGAGCCTTATGACTCTGGCAGTTACACTCCCTTCCCTGTACCACCCACTCAGTAGGAAGGTGGAGAGCCATGGTGCCAATGCGCAGGGCTCAAGGTTTGTCTGGTCCCTTTGTTTCTTTTCAGGCTCCTTCCACTCCATGCTGCGCACTGCAGGCTGCTCCTGAACTGAGCCCAAGCAGACAGGAGACGATGGGCACAGACGGGGACACAGTGGTCCTGAAGAACATGCTCCTTGGTGTCAATTTGATCCTGCTGGGCTCCATGCTCAAGCCCTCAGAGTGCCAGCTGGAGGTGACCACAGAAAGGGTCCAGAGACAGGCAGTAGAGGAGGAAGGAGGCGTTGGCAACTACAGCACATCCAGTAAAGAGCAACCCATGGTCTTCAACCACGTGTACAACATTAATGTGCCCCTGGACAGCCTCTGCTCCTCAGGGCTGGAGGCTTCGGCTGAGCAGGAGGTGAGTGCGGAAGACGAGGCTGTAGCAGAGTACACAGGCCAGACCTCAGACCACGAGAGCCAGGTCACCTTCACCCACAAGATCAACCTCCCCAAAAAGGCCTGCCCATGTGCCAGCTCAGGCCACGTGCTACGCGAGCTACTGAGCCGGATCGAGATGCTGGAGAGGGAGGTGTCAGTGCTGCGGGACCAGTGCACCAGCAACTGCTGCCAGGAAAGCGCCGCCACAGGTAGAGTCTGAAGGGCTGGCAGTGGGGTCCCAGGCGGGGAAGGAGAGGGCAGGGCGGGCAGAGATGGGATGAATGAGTGAGCAGGGGCAATACCCAGCATCTCTTTCCACGGCCCAAGGAAGAAAGTATCCCCACTCGTAGCTCTCAGTTAATGTGTCCGTAAGATCTAAATGCAATCTTTCCTTGGGGATTCAGTTCAGGGATCCTCCACACTGCTTAGCCAGTTTGAAATACATTAACCTGATTTTGGGGGGATGAGTCAGGTAATGGTACATCGGTTCAGCACAGCGGCTTGGCTGGCAAGCAGGGAATTCGATGTCTGTCTTCATTCATCTTTGGCTTTCACGGGCTGTTGGATTGGTATCTATTCTTGTTAACCTGAGGGACTAGGGAATGCAGGTGTCTGCTCATTCAGCCGAAGCCTTCTCCCATCTGAGTAAATGATAGTCATCAAAGTCTCAGAGGATCTGTTCTCCTCTTCCCAGCAAGATGGGAGTTTTTATGTCCTGCCCAGTCCATAAGCACACACACACACATGTGCAATATGTACATGCTACATACAGCACATATATGCTTGCACACACTTATAGAGCTAATCTAAAAAGGCTGAAAGAGGATTTACTTCTAGCCCTGCCCACACCCTAACTAGTAAAACTCATGAGTTCTTATCTGTACATCTTTATCAGACACAATCAAGTCTCCAGAGTTAGACTCCCTGAGTTCAAATCTTCCCTTAATACATCCATGCTTGTGACCAAAGAAAGCTGCATAGCTTTTTCTTTCTCTACAAGGAGTGACAGACTAGAACAACAGGGTCCTGATAAATTTAAAGCAGCAAGTCACATGACAGCCTGATTTCTCTGTGTATGATAAAAACAATAGCTGTTATCAGCAGAGACCCAGTCACCCTCCCACCAGCTTTTCTTCTGTCTTTGATGGGAAGGGGCATTAGCTGTATTTTCTTGCATGCAAGTGTTCACGCCTGTAGGATTCAGTACCTCAGGGCTTCCCCAGGGTAAAGGCAAGATGAAGTTTTAACAGCCTTCATGGCCCACAGCTCCCAAGGAGAGCAGACAGGCTTTCCTGAGTCACAGCAAGAGGAAGATTAGTCTTTGAGCAAAAAAGTGTTTCCCTGATTTTTCTCACGACTTCTCCTCCTGATGACCAGCACAGTCTAAGACGAGAAGAGGAAGTGCAGTTGGTCAGTCTCCTGTTCATTAGTGAAGACAGACAGGTTCAGTCCACTGAAAAAGGGGAGCTGGAGAATGAGGGGAAGTCATAGCTTTCCACGGACACTGCTGCTCAAGAGGTCAGGGTGGCTTTTTGTTATTGTTATTGTTATTGTCGTTGTTGTTGTTGTTAATTGAGACAGTCTTCCTAAATTTTTAACCAAGTTGCCAACACTGGCCTTGAACTTGTGACCTTCTTGCCTTGGGCTTCCAGAGTGCTGAGATTAGAGGCATGTGCCACCATGCCTAGCTCCAGAGTGACTTCTGTAAAAGGTCTTTTGACCAACATCCCACCAGGACGCTGGTCATTGGAAAAACTCCAGAAGGAAGAGATATGTTAAGCCACAGCAGTGAAGTATATTTTTAGGCCACTAGCGCTGCGTGAAGTAGCAAGATGGACTAACTAGATCTCACATCCTCAGAGCAAAGGGCAGAGAAGGATGGCAAGTAGGTATTCAATTTAAATTTTAAATAATTTTATTTAGGCAGATAAATTAACTGCTGTTGCTATACCATGATAAGGACTTGGACAGAAATATACACAGACTCTGGAAGGGATCCCAGCAAACAGTAACTAATGGAACCCAAGGTTTCAGGAAGCTTGTGGAGTAACTCCGGCACTGATGAAGGAGGAAGGACGGGCTTGTAACCCAGGCAGCCTTCCTCTGCATGGTGGACCCAGGGCTCACTCCAACCCCTCCTGTCACCTTCAGTCCCCAGAGCTGGCATCTTGGTCAGAGTCCTCTCCTCAGTCTGTAGGAACCCCATGGCCTGCCCAAGTCAAGAATGGGAGGCTTAGGATTGACACACCCCAGAAACAGCTCTCGCCTATAACGACGTGTGACCTGCACAATACCCAGGGGACCCGCAGGACTGAGCCCGAGGTCCTCTCCCTGGGATTTCATTCCGCAATGCAGCCTGACCTGGGTGCCTTCCCATCTCCATCTTCCCTTCTTCCCTACCAACTTTTCCTGCAAACATTTTCCAGTAAGTTCCCTTTGCATGAATCTTCATCTGAGGTTGACTTATAAGAAATCCAGCCTAAGACACCCTGAGGGTGATTCCCTGGACACCAGGGACCAGCTCGTTTTCATCTTTGCCCTGAGCACTGTACTAAGCACAGACAACCACATTAAGTGAAATTATTTGCTAGCTTGTACATACCACACTATGTTGAGTGTCATGCTCAGCTACTCAAATCTGATGAGAGAATGAGTAGAATTCCCTGTCCTTGCCTCCTCAGCAACTTTTATAGGAGAAGCCACTGCTGTCCCCTGACCTTGCCCCTTGACCATTCCAGGACAACTGGACTATATCCCTCACTGCAGTGGCCATGGCAACTTCAGCCTCGAATCCTGTGGCTGCATCTGCAACGAAGGCTGGTTTGGCAAGAACTGCTCGGAACCCTACTGCCCAATGGGCTGCTCCAGCAGGGGGGTGTGTGTGGATGGTCAGTGCATCTGTGACAGCGAATACAGCGGGGACGACTGCTCTGAGCTCCGGTGCCCGACAGACTGCAGCTCCCGGGGGCTCTGCGTGGACGGAGAGTGTGTCTGTGAAGAGCCCTACATGGGCGTGGACTGTGGGGAGCTGAGGTGCCCCGGGGACTGCTCGGGGAAGGGGAGATGTATCAATGGCACCTGTTTATGCCAGGAAGGCTACGTTGGTGAGGACTGCGGACAGCAGTGGTGCCTGAATGCGTGCAGTGGGCGAGGACCATGCCAGGAGGGGCTCTGTGTCTGTGAAGAAGGCTTCCAGGGCCCGGACTGCTCAGCAGGTAGGAAGGGGAACACTGTGGGTGCTGGTAATAATGAAGACAACGAGCCACTGTCCTTGAGGGGTGAAGATGGTTGTTATCCATTATTTCTTTTGCCAAAGTACAAAGCCACACACTGGGTAATTTATAAAGAAAAGATATTTATCTTGGCTCCCAGTTCTAGAAGTCCAAGATTTAGGGCTATATCTCGTGGTGGCTTTCTGGTGGCAGAGTATCAAGATAGTGCAGGGTACCACGTGGCAAAAAACCACATAAAGCCATATAAAGCCACCAGAATTCAATCATTGGGACTCTATTCTGATAACCTTATCTAATCGTAATTACTTCCTAAAGATGCCCATCTTTAAACACCATAGGGAGATTTAATTTCCACTCTTAATTATTCATAATGAGAATTAAATTTCACCTCTGAAGCCACGAGGGACACCCTGAATCCCATTCAAGCCATAGCAGCCAGAGGTGGTCATGGGACCACTTTAGAGAGGCTGTTCTCAAGTTTGCAGGGATTCCAAAGAGTTGCACCTGCACATAACATCTTCCTCACCTGTCTCTATAATCCAGGGACATCTTCTTTACAGTGTCACTCAAGGGATGATGGTGAGGCTCCCTGAATATCTTACAATTTACAGATTTCCAGATCTTATTAATTTATAAAATGATCTGGTATCCACATGGAAACAAGTGTGTGTAGGCAAGAAATTAAATATAAACAGGAACCAAATACTAAAAGCAATAATTAACATTCTAACTAGCAGAGAATATTAAAAGGGTATGACTCATTTTGTTCCAGATGACTGCGGCACAAACAGGAACCAACCCCATATGTAGTCCAGCTGTGGAAACTGATAGGCAGGGGGTGTCTAAAGTAGAGGTCTAACCAGCTGTGGGAAGGATACTAATATCACAATAGGAGCAATGTTTTTGCATTCAGATCAGGCTATTTTCATAACTTCACTGTTTTTTTTAATTGTCTCTGAGTGAATCAGTGACTTTTGCTGCTAAGGTTGTGCTTTCAACAGTACAGATTTACTTATTGATCTTCCTGTGTAAAACCCAGAACATGCACTTGGAAATTCTAAAATAAGAAACAACAACAAACAAACATTTTAAAACCTTCTAACTGAGCAATTCTAGGAGTTCTCTAAGGGACAAATCCTGGGAAACCAGTGTCACCTGCCTACTGTCCTTCAGTGTCATCAATCATTTCCCACCAAATGGCGATACATGATTTCTACTTATATTCCTTAAAGATAAGTCACAGTGATGAAATGGAAACAAAACTATAATCCATTCCTTAAGAAATTTTGTTTTCATTTTTCCTGTACTGTATTTCCTATATTCAGATATTCTCTATAACCTCTCAGTTTTGTTCCCTAAACAGGAATATCTTTCTAAAAATGCTGTCATTATAGCAATTGTTCCAAAAGCAAAGTTCAAGCAGGAGTTAAGCCTCATTGTTTCTGAAATCAAAGTCACCAGGCAGTTACTGAATGCAGAGACATAAGCTAGTTGTCACATAGTGGATGAGACCCCACGAGGCCCATACGGAGAATGCTAAGGGTCCGTGTGGGCCATCATCGTGCTAGCACTATGTTGTAGATGCTTGTTTCCTCATAGATTCAGCATTTGTGAACCTGCACATATCTGTCGTGTACTTGGCCCACTTTTCTCCAGGGATGGGTCCTTTTGCAAACAGAATCTTGATCTAAGCTAGAGCCCAACCTGAGCTAGAGACAAACCCTGATTCCATCAGGAAGGACTGAGTAGCTGTTAGAGTAGCTACAACTGGGTGGAGCCCAAACTGTGAGCACATGTTACCTCCACCACATTACCTCTGCTGCTTGAGGAAGATTTTTGTAGGCCCTGATAAATAACTTGATAGGTTCCCAGGGCATGTGAAAAAGGACAGTTGCATAATCTCTACCTGTTCCTATAGCAACCCTGGAGCCACCTCTCATTGCAGGAAGAACTGCTCTTAACGTCTGTTTTTAAAACCAAATGCCACAGGTCTCTTCCTGAGAGGTATCTAGGTCATTAGCTAAAGTGCTTCTTCGCCTGCTCTTTGTGAAAAGGCTGTAGGAGAGGGGCTGACTTACCCACTGTTTGACATTTCTGGCCAGGTGCACACATGACATCACTGCTGCTCCCATTGCTCGCAGAAGGGCAGAGTGGGAGAAGGGTCAGGAAGGAGAAAACACGGAGAGCACAGAGTAGACTTCCTCCTAGGTCATAGGTGAGGACACGGAAAATAGCTGCCCACTGTGTAGGTCCCCAGGACTTGAATGCAACACAAGAGTGACAGCAAGGCCACTACATTTGACTTCCAGCCTTGATCTTTGTTCACTGTATGCCATGGGACAAGATCTCAAATTTCCTACCTCCATCTGCTTTTCATGTAAAGATAATAGAATGAAAAAAATCATGAATATGAGCACTTAAAACAGCCCCTAGAAAGCTTCTCATTTTACAGATTTAAAAAGCAGCAATCTAGAGAGACAGAAAAATTTTCTCTGAGCCAGAAAGCTCACTAATGGCAGAGTAAGAATGAGAACCTGGTCTCTTACCAACTCCTTGCTGGTTTTAATCCTCTCTTAGATGCTAAGTAAAACAGAATTGGGGAATAAAAATGTTAAAGCCACATAGACAAAGAAGTAACCTTCTGATATGAAAGCTGAGCCCTATCAAATGGTAAAAAAATGAGGTGTTAGAGATGAGTGCAGAAGCATGCACAACCATTTTTCTGCATCTGCTCCCAGTGGTGTAGGCGAGGGCACAGGTGGCCAACGAGCTGACCGCAACTCCCTGTAAGTAAAAAGAATGAAGGAACCACCAGGCCAGGGGCTTGAAATGACCCAGAAAATTCTTCCCTTGACTCACATAAGACCTGCAGAGATCCAGCATGATAATCTCTGCCTCCGTCAAGACGGCAGCCAGTCCAAGCTTTGGCACCTGAAGCCACATGCTCTTTGGAGCAACGCAGGCCATGTAACTAATTCCAACAGCTCTCACTCCATAAGTGCAAAAGTGACACAAAATCTAAGAAGTAAATCAGGCAACCCTGATTCTTCAAGTCACAAGTTCTTCTTTTTTAGCAGTCAAAGTTGGAACTCTAAAGAAAGCAAGACTAAATGCTTTGTACCACCATAGACAACCATGAAAGTATAAGTCTCTCTTGTAGTTTGCTTTATAGTTAAATACTATTTTGTTTGATTGGGGCTACTAGAGCCCAACGGGCAAGTGATGGTCTCCTCCATCAAGCCATCCCTCCCAAGAGTGTTCCCGCCATCAGTGACACCATGTGTTTCTTTCTGGCTCAGGCATTAAGGAGTGTTCACCATCAAAATCAGGTCTTCATGAAGTTGACAACATATTAACTTGTTCCGCACTTCGTTTTGCTTTAAAATTCTAAAGTGTTCTGCTTGATTTATCCTCTGCAACCATTATTAACTTAATTTTCTTGGAGAAAAAAACAAAAAGTGATACACTGACTTGTCCCACATGCCCTAAGAGTTGGTTGATATTGATGACTTAAAATGGCCATTTCTGTCACTAAGACAGGAGCAATCCTGCAAAAGATACTCAGAATCAATGTTTTCAGTCACAAGAAGCAGTTACTAGAAAAAAAGGTTTTAAAGAGTTTCTCATCTCTAATCTGAGCACCAGGCTGGAGATCACATCTTATAATATCAACTGAATGATTTCTAATGTGTATATGTGGAGGGAGTATATAGAGAGATAAAGGAAGCCATCAGGTGCAATATATAACCTACTCTATAAATTGCAGGAGAAAGAATTCAAAACACAGAACATCTGGGTTTGAGAATCAGCTCTGCCACAACCCAGCTCCCTGACTTTTCATCCATCCTCAACTGAGCTTTAGTTTTTCCTTTTGTGAAGTTGACATGATCAATTACATCTACCCAATTCATCTCATAGGACTGCTATCAGACTTTTAAAAATTACAATCTGGCATATAGGTCTGTCTGGCAAACTGTAGTTAGATGATATAGACTAAAACATTATATACATCTAAATCAGAATTTTATATTGATTAAGAGATTTTAGAGTCATTTTGCCTGGGTTCAAACCCCAGTTTTTCTATTTACCATGTGACCCACTTTCCTCAGTGATAAAATATTAGTGATTATGATTATTATCCCATTATGTTGGTAAGCTGAAATGAGATGATCCTTGTCAAAGTAACTAGCATTGTACATGGTACATTATAAACACTCAATATAATCATGCCAAATACTGTTAAATACTATGTACCAGGGCTGGGGATTTAGTTCAGTGGTGTAAGCACCTGCCTGGCAAGTGCAAGGTCATGAGTTCGATCCCTGGTACCACAAAAAGAAAAAAAAAGCAGATGTTCATATTAGCTGGAGACTTAGCTCAGTGGCATAAGCACCTGCCTGGCAAGTGTGAGGTCGTGTGTTCAATTCCCAGTACCGCAAAAAAAAAAAAAAAAAAATACTAGATACCAATTCTTCCCTGGATCCAGGAGTCACTCCATACATATTACACAGGCAGACCTAAAGGCCTTAGAGCAATTCATAGCTTTCATAGTATCAGAATTATAAATGATCAAAGCTTATAATATATCACTTGAGGGCTTAATTATTTAAATTTTATTTATACTTCTTTACTTTCATAATTTTTTAAAGATTTTTTAAAATTTTTGTCTCTGTTCATATTTGCCATCTTGAGTCAGAATACGTTCTGCTTTCTACCATTGTTTATACAGTGAATAATTGTGAGCAAAAGCAATAAGAGGAAATACCCAGCATTACATTCTGTTCATTTCTCTCCCTCAATTCTAGGAACAGGCAAAGGGCTTCTCATTTCTGCCTTGGCCGAGGATTTGTGGTTCCACTGGGAGCATGTGGAGCCAGGTGCCCCCAGTCCCATGGGCTTTTGGACAGCAGCTGGCCTGGGCCTACTCACTTGGACAAGTAAAGGGATTAGATTACCCAGAGGAGAAATTCTAAACCAACAGTAATGCTTATGCCAACCAAATCCTCTACCACTCATACATATAAATGTATAAATTAATTATAACCATTTAAATATTGCCTTGATCTTTCATTTAATCTATGAGTAGGTCCAATTACAGACACACTGCAGTTAGCCCACTAATTAGTCTTAAAGGATCAATTATTTGATGCCCACACTACAAGGAAGGCTCACTTCCCAAGGGAATCATACATGAAAGGCTGTTTCAATGTGTTTTAACCTGTGGTAACTTCATGTAGCATTTGAGAAGCCAGACAAGAATGAAAAGCAAAACTCTCAGGAATGTTTCTTGGTCATCATCTCCAAAATCAAGTCTAATGAAAATCAGTCTAATACAAGTTACATTTGTTTCAAACTTTAAACAGTCTTTTTTTTTAAAAAAGTGAAAACACTAAGTGCCTTTTCAGACCATAATATGTAGGACTTACAGTTTCAGCTCTTTATAGTTTGCAAGATAACTAGGAATGAGTATTTCTACTTGTCAAATCAGACTGACTCTCTAGGAAACCTGATAACAGTACCATATTAAACCACCAAAACTTTTGACCTATAGTGTCTTGGAGAATATCTATAACTGGCTCCCTGAGAGAAAAAAATTAAAGCCTCAATTTGAAACATTGTTAGTTTCCATGGTGTAAATAATTTCTCTGTGACCAAGTTCAAACTGTCAAATGACATCATCAAATACGGAGATACTAAGAGATCCAGCACATAAAAATTATTTTCAGAGTAGAGACAATGGTAAAATGTATTTAAATGACTTTAAAATGTTGTATTTCAGTACTTAGCACCTTTGTACATTTGGAGCTTCTTTGTTTTGTTTTGTTTGTTTGTTTTGGCACCAGGATTGAACTCATGTTCCTTGCCAAGCAGGTGCTTGAACCTCTGAGCTAAATCTCAGCCCTGTATCTTTGTTTTTAATACAGTTTACTTCACTGTAAGTTTTAGATATCATGGCTAGATCTAACAAATCTTGCAGAATTCCTGAAAATGTGACAGTCAGTTTTTACAAGCCAGTAGCAGCACAGCACTAATGTGTGGCCCATGAAATTAGGGTACAAGGACAGAAAATACTAAAGTCTATTACAAATCACGCCAGCCATTGAGCCCCGTAGGACATGTAGATGTGGCATGGGGGGAGAGACATCCAGGGTGGAAGGCAATCCTCTGAGCTCATGCTGTCTGTGTATTGCCTCCCGGTAGTTGCCCCTCCAGAGGACTTGCGAGTGGCTGGTATCAGCGACAGGTCCATTGAGCTGGAATGGGACGGGCCGATGGCAGTGACGGAATATGTGATCTCTCACCAGCCGACGGCCCTGGGGGGCCTCCAGCTCCAGCAGCGGGTGCCTGGAGATTGGAGTGGTGTCACCATCACGGAGCTGGAGCCAGGTCTCACCTACAACATCAGCGTCTACGCTGTCATTAGCAACATCCTCAGCCTTCCCATCTCTGCCAAGGTGGCCACCCGTACGTACCATTCTCCCGTCCACTTCATTTTTCTTTTCTCCTACATGAGACCATGGGCATTCATGAGAGTAGTGTCTTTTCTCAGTTCTTTGGAGATGCCTACAATGGTTTGATCTTAAGGGAACAGGCTTCAAACAGGACTCAGTTAGGGAAGGGTATATCATTAAAAAGGTACTTCTGATTTAGAGTTTCTAAATACAGACAGCTTTCATAAATCATAGAAACAAAAAGCAAAAAGTACTTTAATGGTTGGATACTGCCTTGATACAAATGAGACTCTTATTTGCAGTCAAGAAAAGTGTGAGATTTATAGAGACTTTGAATCCAGTTAGGAATTCAAAAGCAGGAAATATAAAATAGGATGTACAATAAGCAAGTGTGAAATGGTATTTTACAGATGGTAAGTGTATGGCAGAGCGAGAAAAAAAATCTTTAAAACTACAGCTGATAACATCTACTTCCCCTAGAGAGGTGGTGTAATTTCTTTAGTCTTTTGTCTAGGAAAATATCTTGATGATCCATTTAAAATACAGAAGCCAAGGTTCTAGAACAAAATTGGAAAGAGTCCATAAAAGGGAGGAGAGAGAGAGAGAGGAGAGAGAGAGAGAGAGAGAGAGAGAGAGAGAGAGAGAGAGAGAGAGAGAGAGAAAACAGGACCAGCACATAAGAATACAAGAAATGAGCAGTTTTCATTTATACCAGAGAATGCTCCTGTAGGTGCATCGATGCCTATATATTTTAAATATGTTTAATATAAGCTTAGAAAAGTAGAAAAGATGATTTACTAGTTATTAACATTTAATAGAAGAAGACGAGAAACAGGACGGTGGAGTTTTTTTTATAAAGCTCTGAATTCTTAAATTGTTACTGTAAGCCTGTATTACTTTGAAATTTCAAAAAGCAAGCTAAAGAATTTAGGAGAGAGAAATTTCTAGTACTTTGGGTACCATGCTGTACCTTGTTGCCCCAAATCTACTGAAAAATCTGAATGCTCCCAAATGCCTGTGTGCTGAATATGAGATGTCTTAGGGGGACACTAAGGAAAAGGGGCTCTGTCTGATTAAATTCTGGAATGAGAGCATCCAAAGGCAGTGAGGCTTAAATGATAAAGAGATTTTAGCAGTACCAAGAAACTGGAACAAGAAGTATGACCATGAAAACATCAACCCTTACAATGAAATTCAGAACGGCCCTGGGTACATAAATCACCGGGGAAGGGATAAAAGATTTGAGCTCATTTTGTGTAGGTCTCAAATGACAAGGTGGTATTTGGGTAACAAATGCCCGAAGTCCAGGAAAGGAAAAGGTCAAGGCACAAAGAACCAGCTGTGAAAGTTTCATGGAGGCGCAAGGACACTTGAGCTGAGCTTCGAAGAAGGCAAGGACAGAGTCCAACAGACGACTAGAACTAAGGAGTCATTTTGTCTCTTTGATTTTCCGGGAGACAAAAGCCTGTTATAACATTAAGCTCCCCCTCTGAATACCGTCTCTATTAAAATGCCTGTAATTATCTCTGTTTATATTTGACTCTTAAAAATAATTCCTCTGGTACCTGAGAACTAGTTCTAAATATCTGCGGTGGCTGTGGGGAGGCAGGTCACCATCTGCTGCTTTTCCCACCTTGCTCAGGGATGAGTCACCACCCTCAGTGTCTGGCCCCACTCCCAAGTGTCACCTCTCTGATCCACGTGCGCACACAGTGATGCATTTTTCAATCTCAGTGGTGTTCATTATGCCAACTCAGGGCATCCCCACTGGCAAGCTCCCAGGGAACAAGGACAAAATCATGTAAACTCACCTGCCAGGCCTTCGAGTGGGTTCACAGTCAGCCCTGCCATCACCAAAGAGCGTGAAGCAGCTTCCAAACAGCAAAGATGAGAATCTGTCAGGTTTCCAATGGCAAAGCCAAAATGGGAGCAGGCTCCCTGGAGAGCTGAGAAAAGTCACGCTATCACATTTCAGGGCTGGTAATTGAACTCCATTAGGACAAGCATCCTTCCACCTCACTAAATCTGTGTGTGTGTGTGTGTGTGTGTGTATGTGTGTGTGTGTGTGTGTGTGTGTGTGTGCGTGCACACGCATGCATGTGTGTTGGGGGAAAGGGCTGGAAAGAGGAAGATTAAGACAAGAAAAAATAACAGGCAAATGTGATGAGGAAGAGAAGGGAAAATAATGAAGTAAAAACTAGAAGAAATCTGGAGAAAGTAAAATGGATACAAAATTCCCAGTACCTCATATCTGCTATTGTCCTTTAAGTACACCTTTATTTTGCTTGCATAGTGAAATGGAAAATTCAGATCATCCTAGATTTAGTACTGTGAGGTTAGCAAAACACTTTCAGTGCACATCAGATGATCAAAAGAAGCGTTTCTGCCTTTGTTCTGCGGTTGGCCTCTCTGTAGTCAGCCTTCCCTGTGCCTCCTCCTTCCCGCACGTGAAATGCAAAGACTGCTATTAGCCACATTTTGCCTCCGAAGACTCCCATATAACTTCCAAAGATAGTGTTTGAGTTTTCTGATAAAAAGACTTTGCATTCAATGCCATTTTTACCACATTAGTGAGGAAAGGAAGCCATGGCTCTTATATTTTAACATCAACATTTTGTTATGTAATAAAAAGCAGAAAAAAGTGACTGTGTACAGAGTTTGCTCACGTATCACACCAATGCTGAGCCCCAGTGCCACAGCGCAATGGCCCAGTCCTGTGCCTGAGACTCGTTGTGATTGTAGTAGGGTTGAGACTGTCCACTACATGCCACCCACACCCACGGCATGGGGGGAGATCACAGGACAAAACACCAAGTTGTGCTCCCTGTCCCTGTGAGGAGCCGTAACACTGTCACCTACATTGCTGTGTTCCAGATCTCTCTACTCCTCAAGGGCTTCAATTCAAGACCATCACAGAAACCACCGTGGAGGTGCAGTGGGAGCCCTTCTCCTTTTCCTTTGATGGTTGGGAGATCAGCTTCATTCCAAAGGTAACAGCTGCCAGGCCCTCGAAAACCTTCCTTGGAGACCCTCAACTTGGAATGAGGGCCGCCAGGAAGGTCCTATCCAGTATATCTGTCTCTGTCTCTGTCTCTGTCTCTGTCTCTCTCTCTCTCTCTCTCTCCGTCTCTCTCTCTCCGTCTCTCTCTCTCTTTCCCCTTCCCCTCTTTCTGAGCCATTAATGACAAGAGGCATTTCCTGAGGGTTTGAGCTTAGAATCTTCTTTCACAGAGACCTGAGGACTGATTGACAAGAGTGGTCCCAATCACAGCACCTTGGTCTTAGATAAGCAGAGCTATGGGAAACAGCTACCAGCTCTAGCTCTCTGAGGAGGTAGCCCCAGGATCTGGAGAGCCATGCTTTCTGTAAGAGGGAAAATGAGATGCTCAAAAAATTAGGACTTTTCTTTCAAACATAAAGAAGCCAGGCATGGTGGTACATGCCTATAACTGCATCAGTCTATAGTCTGAGACAAAATGATTACAGGTTCAAGCCTAGCTTGAGCAACAGCCACTTAGCAACACCTTTTCTCAAAACAAAACAATTTTTAAAGGGCTGAGATCCCAAGTTCAATCTCCAACAATAAAGTGGGGGTGATGAACAGTCTCCTGGTCAGCTCACAGCTTCAGTCTGCAGACACAGGAAGTGTGAGTGTGCAGGGCTCCTGCTGCTGAAGGTTACACAAATAACACAAACACTCTGGTTTTCCTGATTATTCAAGTGAATCTGTAACCCATTAATTAAACAACAGTTTCTTCAAATAAATTTATACTACCTAGTCTATAAATTTAAAAGTATCCTAAGATTTCTCCCTAGCCTTTAAAGTGGTATCTTATTTTACTAATCCTAAAACTGCTTCTAAGTTGCCAAGTGGTACCTTCCCCATTCTAGTGTGTTGGCCCTATGATATTCTCTTGGATTATCAGGTCCCCTCCTTTCCTGTCTTCAAGTTGCCACATTAGGCAACATTTTTTCAGTCATTCATCAAGTTGATGATAAATGCCACATTTTGGCTAACTAAACTGATTTTGCCAATTCTATTTCAAAGTTCTTGGAGACATAGACTTTTGGAGCTACAAAAAACTTTTAATTTTATATCTATTTTACAGAGACCAAGACTCAAAGAATTTAAATGATTTGATATACCTAGTTGCTACTGGGCTTAAGACAAAATCCTGTCTCAGCTTCCTCTTCTAGAGCTCTGTCTACTACACCAAGATGCCTTATTCTCTTCCATGGATACAGAAATATTATAGCAAGTCAACTGTACCTAAACAGGTGCTTTATACCTGTTAGCTATTGCATGTCAAATCTGGATTAGAGTGACCAAAAAGATTAGCAAGCAATTGGATTTATAGAGAGGCTGAGTGAATCACATCACTCTGCTACTAAGGCAGAAAGACCAAACTCTCTTGTTTTACATGCAGTATGTAAAACTCTAAATAAGAAAGGTGCTGGCCAAGGTGTGCTAAGATCAAATATATGGCCACATGGAATAACTACTGTGAACTGTAGGTTGAAGTCACTGGGATACATTTATCATACTGATTAGTAGAGTATAGCTATAAATTCTATACAGGGCATTCTTTGGAGATAGATCAGAGAATAGGGACGATAGTGTCACAGAAAGGATTGTCTCCTCTCTTTCCAAGAACACATATAAAAATGTATGATTAAAATATAGATGATAGATATAAGATGGCTAGATGATAGATGATTGATAGATATAGATAGATGATAGCTGATAGATAAATAGAAGATAGATAGATAGATAGATAGATAGATAATACACCCTGGACCCACCATCATCAAGCTGCTATTTCTCATTACTTCCTCTACCAGTCTGTCTCTTTCCTCTCTCCTTTGTAGCATTCTTTGCTCTCTGCTTCCTTTTTCCTTTCTTTGTACCTCATGATTGTGTCACTGAATCTTAATTCATCTGGGCAAAGGAGAAACTAGATAATGACACATTCACACCTAGTATAACACCTTGAGAAACTCCAGGTATAGCAAAGTAAAAGCTCCAGCTCATTAAAAAAAACTCTGAAAATGTCTTAGCTTGAAATATGTAATGTGTACGTATAAAGACGTTTACACGCATAAACACACAATTATACTCTTCCAAATAGCCAAGGGCATACTCATCACAATAAGTGCCAAAAAAAAATGATGGATACTAACTGTAACCATCAAACATTTAGTCTTTGGCAAGAGCTAATCTGTATCTCCTCATGATTAATTTTTATTGGCAAACTCAGAAAACTCAAGAGAAGCCAACGAAATGTTCCTGAAAATTAGCTCTTATTGAGCTGCATGGAGTCGTTCGTGCCCCAGACACTCAGCTGATAGCATGGAGAGGGAGCAGACACAGCCCTCACTCTTACTTCCTGTTCACAGTCAGTGCTGTACGCATTTATCTTTCTCCCACACGAGTTCTCTCTTGATGACTTTGCTCTTGTTCTCTGCTTCTCCCTGTTCTCCAGAACAATGAAGGAGGAGTGATTGCCCAGCTCCCCAGCGATGTTACCTCCTTTAACCAGACAGGACTGAAGCCCGGGGAGGAGTACATTGTCAACGTGGTAGCCCTGAAGGAGCAGGCACGGAGCCCGCCCACCTCGGCCAGCGTGTCCACAGGTGAGTGCCTCTAGCCTCTCTTCTAAGGCTGCTCAGTGCAGAATTACCCAGGGAGTAGAGAAACAAAAGAGGTGCAAGAGTTCCTCCTCAAGCTGAGGCCATGTGGGGACCTGGAGAAGGAGCCCCTCCACCACATGCTTAGCTGTTCATACTCCTCATCGCTTGGCCTGGCAAGCATAGAAACCCAGGAGAGTGTTCCATGGTTAAGAATTTTCTCTCAGTGTTCTCAAGAGGCTTCTTTCATCAACCCTCTAGTGTCAACAGCTTTGGAACCAACAAAAGTGGACTCACTCTTACATAGTATGAGATTTGGTAAAAGTCAGCTGAACCTTCCCAAACCTCAATCCATTTTGTGTAACACCTCCTCCATTGGAATGAAATGAAGATTAAATTAGACCAAGTTCACAAAGTGATTAGGACTGTGCTGATAAGAGCAAGTACTTAACACTTAGTATACACAAATCTCTCCAGAACACATGCTTAGAAGTGAAAGCAGTAGGAGATAAAACATCTAAAACTGGTGTACAGGAGGAACGCTGTTCAAAGTGACAGCTTAAGCTGATAATTCTTTCATTCCCACAGTTCATTTCATTCAAGATTACTGTATTTGTAGGCTTGATTCATTAGCTGTGCCATATTTGGTCTTACTATTTCCTTAACAAGAGATGTTCAACTTCCATGTTTTAAATTAGCCATATATATGTGCTTTCACCAAGAATTTCTCAAAAGTTAAAAATAGCATATGGTATTAATTTTTATTTTGCAACTTATTGATAAGACAGCTGAGTAAGAGTTTTCTTTTCTAAGCAACTTTTCTTGTCAGTAACAAAAACTGAAACTGCAGAACATTGGTACAGTTTTACTTTTCATAAATAGAAATTGATACCCTTAAATCCAGGACAGAACTGGAGAGATGATAGACAGACAGAGATACACAGAGACAGAGACAAAAACAGAGAGAGAGGAAGAACAAAGACTATGTCACATATTTGTGGATAGGGATTCAGACTTCGCTGTTTGCATCCAAACCACGTAACGTGCTGAGCTCATGCTCATCCCAGGAAACCCTGGTTAAAGCCTTTATGGCACCAGCGTCTGTTGAGTCCTGCACTGCGGTTCCATGCCTTGCCCAGGGGCCAGGATCTGGTGGACATTCACTCCTCTCATTATTCGTTCTTCCATGTGTCAACACGGGCAACTCTACTCCCAAACATTTTATATTTTGTCCAGTTGTTTAAGATTATATTCTTGAAACAAATTTTTTCACTCAAAAAGAAAAGGCTTTATAAAGCATTTTTCTGGGATCGTGGATATAGCTCAGCACACAGCTCCTGCCTGGCAAGCGTAAGGTCCTGAGTTTGATCCCCAGTATTGAAGAAAGAGCACTGTTGTAATCCAAATATGCTTTAGAAAAAGCCCCATGAACTTGAACTGAGATGCTCTGCAGGAATCTCCAGAAGGGCAAGCATATAACTCATCCCAAAGGCTATGCTGGAGCCTGAGGAATTGGCATTTGGATACAAGCATAGATTTTCCACTTTGGTTATACACTGGTTCATGATCCCCAAGCCATTTTTGTGATTTGATATTGAGAAATCATTAGTAGAGAAAAAATACTGGAAGGGGAGATGGTTCACAAGGAAGAAAGAACATGACTGTTGAATATTTTTCTTCCTAAGAATTGAAAGTACTTAGAGAAAAGAGTCTAACCAGTCTTAATCTTACATTCAAACTACAATTTCATAAATTTGCCATATTGGCAGTGGTAGGGGGGACCCTGAGATTAAAAGTAAAAGTTTCAGGTGCCATGATAAAACTAGGCAGAGTCTTTTCAATTAATGTCAATTGATTTTCAATCCAAAAAATGTCCTATTGACATTGTGTACAGTGTCATGAAAAAAATGGAAAGAGAAATACATAAATTCCAAGTTACTCTGTGAGTAGGATTTATGTTTGTTTGGAAATTAGGGCCCAAATGGAAAAGAAGCCAGTACTTTCTTGATTGGAACAGTAGATTACTGCCAAGTGACCAACCGGAGGGCAGAATCAAGGGCTAGTGACAGACAAGATGGCTGGCTCCCAACCCTGTCTGCTGTTTTTAGGGAACGAGTATTTAATTATTTCCTTCTGCTAAGGTCTGACCTACACCAACCCCCTCCTGTGAAGCGCTGAGTCCTCGTAGCCTTCAGACTGGCTTTTTCCAGACAGGCCATTTTGTGAATGCAAATACAAGACCTCCCACAGCTAGAGCCCTCTGTGCTACATAATCACATTCTAATATGGTCAATCCATTACAATCAGGGGCTTGGGGGTCTAAAGATTGAAGGACAAAAGCTTTATGTGGTCATTGGAGTTTTTCCTGATGACTTTTATATTTGTTTGTTTGTTTGTTCCAAAAGTTCCAGTTCACTGAATTTCTGCCCCTTTTCCTTGTGGAGGAAAAAGTTCATCGAGTTATTTCTACTATACCACACTCACTAGCCATCTGCTTCATCTCACACATCAAGCTTATACCACAACTAGGAAGCTATTTCCCATCTCATAATTCAATCATTCAATTAAAGCATTAAAGGTCCTGGTTATCTAAAGCCACCAAGTGCAGCATGCTGAACAGAAGTTGTCTGAATGTGTCGTTATATCACATGACTACCTCAAATATGAAAACCAGGACTTGTTTCAACACCAAACCAGACATTTCCAAAACAATCTGGTGATTTTCATTTGGGCTGGTGCTAGACCAAAAATCTGAAGTTGCTTAATAGAAATCAGGAAAGGGTTAGTTCAAGGAGGAGGTTGAGGTCCCCAGGACAGTACTGACCTGTGAAAAGTCGAGGGACTCCAGGATGGCCCAGGACAGTAGAGACAAAGTAGAAGGTGGTCTGGGAAGTGCTGGTTAAAAACAAGTCTTACTCGAGGCTCTACAGTATTAAGGAAGGGAAATGTACTTTACCTAGATGAAGCAAAAGAGAATTTACTAGAAGGAAATAGAGCATCTCACAGAAACCTGGAGCCAGAAATTTATGTGGGCCTCATAAAAGACTTGCATCACAAAATGGAATATTAGGAATTAAGTTACTCTTTATATCTTTCTAGAAGGTCCGCGTGGTCATTCATTTCTGCTTCTGTCTACATCTGCTCTCTCCTCCTGTCTCTTCTCCCCTTTTCATTTTTCTCTCCCCTATCCTCTCCTCCCTCTCCTTCTCCTCTCCTCTCCTTATCTCCCATCAGATGCTTCCAATTTCTATGAACATGGTAGAGAATGACCTCCGCAGGCCTAGCTCTACATGGCCCACCACAGGCTACTTAGAGGACCAGAGTCACTGGTACCAAATCCCAATCTTTAAAGAATATTAATAGTATGCAGCTCCAGCAGTCACAAACCAAATGCAAACATAGAAGCCAGGCCTACTCTTTTATCAAATAATGAGCAATTCTTAAAGAAAGGCGTATTAGCTCTGCAGATCTCCCCTGAGAAGTTTGGAATACAGTTTTCTGTTCCCACTGAGCCCTTTCTTTTTCTATCCCCCCTCTACATTCTCTCACTTCCCCTACTAAGTATAATACGAAAGGACTCCAAGTGGCAGCTGGAGCCATGAATGGTGGCCCTGAAGGAGACCAGCCAGCTTTTCCAGGCATCCTGTCTGGTCCCATAAGAGACATGTTCTGGAGAATCTGAGGGCCTGTGAGTGCCTGCTGTGCCCCGCTGGTTTAGAAATTTGCAACCACCAGGAGAAGAAATGACCCACAGTGGCCACTCCCAAGCCAAGGTCCTTTTTAATCAGAGTGGCACATTTCCTCAGAAGGCATGTCTCAGGTCCACAGATACCAGTGTCTGTTGGGTTTAAGTACAGTCAGCAGCTGGCTGGCTGCACTGTGAGTATGGCTGAACAGGAACAACTTTGAAATACTCCTTTTGTCAACCACATCAAAACCTCAGAAGTTCAGAGAGAGTGATCATTTCCTTGGGGCTCAAAGAAGGGCAGAGCTGGGCTCCAGGCATACTCTAAAACTCTGTCCTCAGGGATCTGTCCCATCATACCCAGAAAGAGAGGCCAGTAAGTATCCTTCCCCTGCCTAGGCAGAAAGTGTCAGCACCTGAAAGCTGTAGCCTGATATAAGGAGACTTAGGCCAAGTATCAGGGGAACTAAGCTCTAGTATCATTTTATTGTGCCTCACTTTCTGCATCTGTAAAATGGGATGATGGTATTTATCCCCTCTTTGACCAAACTAGAGGCAGAAGGAGACAGCTGATGTGATGGCTTATTTCTCAATCAAATTCTCCTTCTCTCTGATCCCTCTCATCTAGTCATTGATGGGCCTACACAGATCCTGGTGCGAGATGTCTCTGACACAGTGGCCTTTGTGGAGTGGACCCCTCCTCGTGCCAAAGTTGATTTCATTCTCCTGAAATATGGCCTTGTGGGTGGGGAAGGTGGGAAAACCACCTTTCGGCTGCAGCCCCCCCTAAGCCAATACTCAGTGCAAGCCCTGCGGCCTGGCTCCCACTATGAGGTGTCCATCAGTGCAGTCCGAGGGACCAATGAGAGCAAGTCTACAACCACCCAGTTCACCACAGGTAAGTCTGGGCCAGGCCAAAGGGGCATAAATAAGTGATTGAGTGTACTTGGTATCCACATCCCTACAGTGCTACAAGATGAGTGTGAGATTTTGGGGGGCCTCCTGTGGTTGTCAGCACCACTAGGTAATGTAGAACAGTGACAACTAACCTCTGCTGGCCACATGTTCACCTCCCTGTAAGTTGCTTCTTTCTGTGGCTCTCAGATTTCTCCTCCACAAAATGACAGGCTTGCCTTGAGGACTTTCAAGCTTCCTATTGCTAGCCCGAATGGCAATTTTGTGAGTGTTCAGGAAGGGTACCTCTTCCTCTAGATGCTTCATACCATTTCTTGGAAATTGTTGTAATAATGCTCTAAACCGCTTATGACTGCATAGCCACAATGGTGCACCTTACCGCTGCACGAAGCCAACCTCTACAAACATGTAGACCTTCCCCTGAGATCCATGACTCACCTACCATTTGTGCGCTCTAGTGTAAGGGGAACAGGAGACCAGGTTGCCACACACAGGAAGCTGAATCAAGCACATATGAATACCTCCCACCTTGCTGTGATGATCACTGCCGCCTCTTCTCAAGGCTGTTGGGACTCAAAAAGTATCCAACAGTCAGGAAAGTCCAGAACTCAGAGTGATTCATCTCAGCGCCCATTGGGCTGGCCAACTAGTGGGTAAGCTGGACCGACAACATGGAGCTTCCTGACAAACTCAACAAGTGTGATCGGATTAGTGACTGAGTCTCTAATCCAGTTTGTTGGTCTTGGCCTCTCACCTTTGGGGAGGTCGCAGGTCAAAGAATATCTGTGCCAACTTCAGGAATCAAAGGAAACCAGGAATCAAAGGAAACCATTTATCCCAGGAATCAAAGAAAACCAATCATATCTGTGAGATCCAAGAACCACCACCTCCCAACACAATAGAAGAATCAATAATTCAACTGTCCTATACTACCCACAGGTTGTGTCCTAAGAGCTTGTCATAGAATGGAATCCAGGGGCCTCCAGGAGCCTCAGTAACTAGCACTTCCTGCTCCATTTGGGCTTTCAATCATGATAAATAAGCCAAAGACTAAGACAAATGAACACCAACCTAACTCCTAGACTGGAGCGGATAGCTTAGAGATGCTATCCCTAAGCAAGTCAGATGGACTTGCACATGAACAGCCACTGTGGATTTGAGCTGGTGTCTATATAACAGAAGTAAGAGACTGCTCAGATTAGACACCTGATCCCTGAGAGCAGGCCATCCTGGGAGACAGGCACCAAGAGGCTGTGCCCAGACCTTGCAACAAAACTTGGCATTAGTTAAGTCCATTTCCCCAAAAAAAAGAGAGACCAGGAGTGCCCTGATGGAGTGCCCGCCACACAGAAATCTCTCCCTTAAAAAAGGGAACAAACATAGCAAACTGCAGAAGGCAGGGTTTGATTTACCAAGAGACCCTGTAATGCTCTCCCTGCAGCGCTTGTAGCAGATTCCACTCCCTCCTCCAGGTGTGGCCAGTGGTATTTTTCACTAAGTACACCTTAGTATCGCCATAGACTGAGTGTGTTTTTGGAAACATTGGAACCAAGTTCTGCCCATTTCTCTTCCCTTCTTTTCCTTCACTTAGCCGGAAATGATCCTGGACTGCGTGAAGCGGGAACCCCTTCAAGGTCAGCCCCCACCACCACCACACACACAGAGCACCCCTTGCTCAGGTTACCGGTATCTGCTCTGGACCATGAGTCCTGCAGTCTTTCCTTCATTTCCAGATAGACTGGGTTTGAAAAGTGGTTTCTTTGTGCTCTGCTCTGATAAGGAGTTTGAAGAAGCAAAAGGGGAGAAGGGGCCTCTCAAACAGCGGGATGAAAAGCAAATTCTTGATGTTCAGGTCTACAAGACAGAAGCAGGATTGGCTGGTGGCCCAGGAAAATTCCAATCAAGACAATTACATTCTGCCTCCTCTGAGCTCCCCCCGGAGCTTCAGTTTGCTGCTGCTTCATGACTCTCCCTTTCTGGTTGCCTGGCGGATCGGCAGTAGTTAGGAGGCTGCCTTCTCTAAGCAGACTCAGGCTGCACCTTGGATCTACTCACCTCTGTTGGGGTGGGAATACACAAACAGTTTTACAGCCAGACACTCAAAGTCCAGGGTTAGCAGGTGCCAGTTAAATGATGAAAGGGTACCTAGACTCTCACGGTAGGGCCCTCAGTCATTGCAAAACTCAGCTTAAATTCAAATTAACCAAAGTGCTTTTCCAGGTGATGGCTTCGACACTAGGAGTGCACTAATTGCATAGGCAATTAAAACAGAGATTTGCTTCCTGCATGGTGCCTGGGTCTTACAGTGATTCTAAGAAAGAAACAACCCTGATGGAAGTGCAGCAAAGACAGTGGCGAGAGAGAAACCAGCTAGGAAGAAAGGAAGCCACCTTCAAACTTTCCCCCCTCAGCAGCCTTGCTCTCAGCTGCCCTCCTGGAGGACTCTTGGGACTGTCCTATCCCATGGCACCCTTTCCTTGGAGCATAACCCTCAGTCTTGAAATTTAGTCACCACCACATCCGACCTAAATGCTCCAGACCTCACTTTAATGTTATGGGCTAAATCTTTTACTCTAAAAAAGGTATTAAACCACTAATTTTCAGATTATAGGAATGTGGTCTTATTTGGAGACAGGGTCGTTGCAGTTGGGAAAATTAAGTCATGATCCCTAGACTGAGCCCTAATCCAATCTAACTTTGTCCTTATCAAAAGGGGAAATTGGGATAAAGAAATCATCATGTGAAGGTGAAGGCAGAGATACAAAAAGAAATGCCAAAAGTGGCTATCAAATCATTGGAAGCCAAGACAGAAATATGCTATGGCCTCTCAGCCCTTAGACACCAGGATCTTAGACCTGCAGACGATAACTTCCTGTGAAGACATCCAGTTTGGAGTGCCTCATGTGTCAGCCCTTAGAAATTAATATGACACCCAGGCCACAGGAATTCAAATTCCACCTGATTGGCCGTAGTGTCCCGCTGGGGTTCTCCAAGAAGTTCTTCCATAAGTTCAGTCTGGATGGCACTTGTCCGCTCAGCCAATGGCCTGGCTGAGACAGCAAGAGGGGGCTTTCTCCCCTTGCAAGACCAGCTGCCCTAGCACAGCTGCCCTTTATCCTGCACTGCTCACCCGAAGCATCCTCAAAACCCCACAGCTAAAATAGGTAACAAGACCTTTCTAGAGACTTTGTGGTAGTACCCAAAACAAAAGAGATAATGTTCCTCTGGTCATTCGTGTGGATTTTTAAACTTCTACTGGGGTCTAAGCACTGTTCTAGACACTGAATCTATAGAATAACCGAGATAAACAAAATCCCAGTGTACATTGGGCAATGAAAAAAAATACATTTCAGTCATTAGTGCTATCATGAGAAGAGAAATGGATGAGACAGAGGAAGGCTCCATTGACTTTAGGAATTTGGAAAGATCTAGGAAATTACATTTTAGCTAAAACCTATGCGACCTAAGTCATCGAAGGATCTAGAGAACAACATTTTAGAAAAATAGAGTGTAGTGCAAAAAGTCCTGAGGTAGGCATTAGCTTCATGTGTTTCAAGAGTAAGAAAAAGACAGTCCAGCTGGACCATGATGAATAAGGGTAGAAATATTAGGAGGTGATGTCTGAGAAACAGACTGAACCAACTCATTCGGAGCTCTGTAGGCTGTGATGAGGAGTGTATAATCAGGGAACAAAAAACTTGTAAGTAGGAGAATTTTGTGATCTAACCCGTGTTTTAGAGAGTAGTTATGGTTATTACCAGGGCTCACAAACCCAGGGAGCTCTGTCTCATCTCAGCCTACTGGCATTTTACAGAGACCATGAGGTTCCAGCCCAACCGGTGTCCCCCAAATGCCCTTCTGAGACATCAGGTTTCTAGACTCAGAAAGCTAATCATTTCACCTCTCCCAGTTCTGAGACTCACCTTTCCAATCCTACACTCTGGGAATGACCTCTTAGGATTATTGGCATTGAAAGTGTCCAGTCCTTTTCAGAGCAAACACTAGCTTCACCCACAGGGTACAAGCCTTGTGACCAAAAATCCCAAAACCATTGGCAGTGATTCTACTCGTGTCCTCATACAAAAAAGAAATTTCAAAGCTATTGGGTTTTAATTGTGAAGAGGTCTCAACTTTAACTCTAACCTTAACTTTAATGGCTTTTGCTCTGGCTCAGCTTTGACCCTATACCCCAAGCCCAGCCAGGCACTTTGTCCAGCCTCTTCTCCTGTCTGAGATTCAGAGCTATGATTAAGTCCCTCCATCTGTCTCTCCATCCAATTGCTAGAGAAATTACATATAGAACATGCCAAGAATATACAGCATCCAGCATGCTACAGTACATGGAATAAAGAAACACTTTTCAGAAAAATAAGCTGCAGAGACATAAATCTGCTAAAAGATTCACCCAGTTTACATCACTAAACAGAATATGTCTCACACACGGAAACCTCTATTTTCAGATTGATTCACAGCATTCTCCTCTTCGCTGGAACAACTGATGGATAGTCACCTTGCTTTTGCAAATTACAACAATATACTCAAAGTTTTTTCAGAAAAAAATGGCCATTCCACTCCAAATTAAATGCATGTTTGAAAGACAAGTGTTTGGAATTTTTTAAGTGACAAATTTTCAGGGCAGCACCTTATTGCACAAGTTGTTTCTGTCATTCTTCCCCAAATGAGCCTAAGGAGATGGCTCGTCTTACGGGAAAGAAGCAGCTCCCCTTCGGTGGTGGGAGAGAATCCAATGCTGACATTCCCTTCGTTGCTCTGGAATCCTGAGAACCCCAAGAGCAGCTTTGGGGACCATAGTGTTGAAACTTACGAAGAGCTTAAGAGGCCACAAGAAGCCAGCCCAGAACATGGACGTCTACTTTTGTACCAGGCAACAGGACACACATTGTGTAAGCTCTCCAACAATATCAGTATTATTTGCCCCTGTCATGCAGGTTCCCATAAAGTCCTCATGACGGTGAAAAACATGTCCATGCTCTGGTTACTGCAGGGCTGAGAGCTGAGGATCAAACTCGGACCTGACTGCAAAGCCCATGTTCTTCCCACTCTACCTTATGTTCTATTTATAGCTTAATTTTCCAGCCTGATAATCTTGCAGCTGTGTCTATAAGGGTAAATCCAGGAGAAGACATCAGAAAATCAAACATTTCCTTTTTGCTTCATGGTCAAATTTGATATTGCACTACTCTATTGAAATCACTTGGGTGTTATCCTTGATTTTCTCCTCCTGAGGTTTTCTTTGCTTTGTTTTTAAGTTTATAATATTATCTTGTTCTTTTTCAAGTTTCTAGCACACCACTGAAACTCTTAAAGGGTCATGGCAGAAACATAAAGTGTATTGATGTCTAATTCCCATGTGAAATCCTCTGCTGTGTCCAAGGAGTTTGTAATGGCAGACTAAAAGCTAGGGGCAAGCACCGGGTTCCTGAAACCTGAAGCAGGGTCAGAAGGTGTGGACTCTCACTCCCAGACCTTTAAAATTCAAGATGCACCTCAGATGCACATTACTGTGTACAGTGTTGGTGATGTCTGTCTATTTTTAGAGATTGATGCTCCCAAGAATTTGCGAGTTGGTTCCCGCACAGCAACCAGCCTTGACCTTGAGTGGGATAACAGTGAGGCAGAAATTCGGGAGTACAAGGTTGTGTACAGCACGCTGGCAGGGGAGCAATACCATGAGATGCTGGTCCCCAAGGGCATTGGTCCCACCACCAGAGCCACCCTCACAGGTGAGTAAGACCCATCTCTTAGGGATAAGATGATTGTTGAATCTATACTCTCACAGCTGTTTCTCAGTTTATCTATCTCATGTCTGACCTATCAGCAAATATACTTTTCAAAGTACATATCTGATTATATCATCACAGTATGCATGTATTTCAGGAATTCTCATTGCTCTTAGGATAAAATTCAAACCCTTACTGCGGCCCCCAGGCACTACCCGGTTCCCCCGCCTTCTCCAGCCCTGCTTTTCCCCACCTGCTGGTGCTCTCAGTGCTCTGGCCCAAAGGCCTGCTTCCTTAATTCCTGCCACAAGGCTTTGCTCTTTGCTTGGTTCACTCTGGTGTCTCTTTCAGTTCCTTGTTTTCAAGGAGCCTGTGTGATTCCCTAATAAGGTTAGAACATCTTATCTTACGGCCTCATTCTATAAGTTAGTGAGTTCTCAGCACTGCTCAAATTATCCTCTGAGCTGCACAGAGGCGATCATTTGATTATTGACCTTCACCTTAGACCTAAAGTTTCATGGAAGTTTATCTATCATTGAATCCCCAGAACTCAGCAGTGTCTAGTATGTACTAGATCCTAAATCAGTAGCTTTTGAATGAATGAACGCATGAATTAATGAATTAAACTGAAAAAGTTTGTTATGGTGGCAGCATAGACTACAAGAGGTCTCTGTCAAGATGGGAGCCTGGCCACATCTTATATAGCCTATTAAAGTTTTGGATTTTTTCTAGAGGACAAGGTGGGAAATATGGAGAAATTTTAAATAAGGTAATGGAATAAACAGCTGTACATAGGAAGGTGATGGCCATGACCAAGAGACTGATCAGAAGGCTGTTGCTGGTGTCAAAGAGAGGATGGTGACATAGACAAAAGCAGTATCCTAGGTCACCACTATGCCTGTTCCCTTGAAGAATGGAACTCAATCATGGTTCCTTTAGGGACCCCCACTGAAGATAATCTGCCCACTTTGTCACCCCTGGGGTGACTTGCTGCTAATGCGGAGTATAGTTTTCATATGAAGGAGGTGCTGTGTACAGCAGTGTGAGCCAGGGCTTTCCACATGCTCCCTGAATTCATGTCTTGGCTTCCGAAAGAAGCATTTGCCATCTCACTAGACAAGGGATGCACCACCAAGTGCATACAGTAAACAAGGGCAGTATAATCAAAGCTGTTTTTCCTCCAGAGCTGAAACCCCAGAGCTCCTTGCCAAATGAAACCCGTTAAAGTAAATACAAAAAAATGCCTTTCCCAGACAGGCACACTCCTGAAACACAGCAAGGATATGGGAAGTTATGCTGACCAAGCAGGTTAAGAGGAGTGAATTAGACACAGAAAAGACAGACCAGCTGTTGTAAGGGCTTGCAGAAAGCTAGAAGTATTCACAAAAATTAAGCCAAATGAAAATCCTGAATGATATAAGAAGGAGCATGGCCCAGCTCTGCCTATAGCCGCAGGCTGATTTGGCAATTAGCAGTTTTGCAAAAATGACAGCCCATTGTTTGAGGGAGACTATGCAATAATATCATGAGAGCCACAGAGAACCAAGCCATATCTAGTTATTATTTCCCCCTACTGGGGGGTGGGGGATGAGATTCTACATTTACTAGTCATCTATCTTATTCCAGGCACTTTCACACAGTTAAAATTAATCTTCACAAAACCCCTGGAGATAAGTGTTAGCATTCCCATTTTATAGATGAGAAAAGTGAGGTTCAGAGAATCTAAAAACATGTATCCAGATTCGCAAAACTAGCAAAGGGCACAGTCATGACTCAGTGCCCTTAGAAATTCTGATGAGTTCCAGTCCAGTGGATCCCTTCCATGGCTGATTTTACCAAACATATAAAATGTAGTTATTTTTTCTCATTGCCTAGACAAAATACCCAGCACCCGAAGTGAAAGGAGGAAAGGTTTGTAGAGGTTTCGGTTCATATTTGACTAACCCTGAGGCAGAGCATCCTGGCAGAGGAGGAACAGGTCATGGCGGGCAGAAGGCAGCAAGAAAGGGACAAGCAAAGGCCCTCTTTGTGTCCTTTGTATTCCCTCCAGGTACCCACCCTTAGGGCAGGCAGCCCTCACCCTCAGGGTGGGCATCCTTAAACCTACCCAGGACTGTGCCAAACCAATCAGGGGACTAATTTCATAATCACACACCCTTTATCTCAGGGTCACACACTCTAGAGCCAGCCCTCCTGAAAAATCATGTGAGCCATAACAGTAAGGAACAGCCCTAATGTAAATGCAACAGACCTAGACAAAATCAGAGAATGTTTTCTGGGTAATGAGCTTAGATAGGTTAATATTTTGTGTTAGAGTCACGCTTATAAAAAATGTATATGTGTATGTGTACATATCACAAATACATACACATACATACATGTGTACATATACCTCACATAATTGTCCCAGAGATCTCACTGCTAGGATGATTCACAGAGGATTTATAAGTGCATAGGCAGTCAAGTCCAGCACATGTGCCTGTGGAAACACTAGTTATACAAGCATTGTTCACTTCCGGCTGCAGTGTCTGGGCGGAGGGGAAGAGGGCCATGAAGGAGAGAGGGAGAAAGGGACAAGTTCAACTCCAGCTCGAAACAACTATGCTTTATCCCTCCCTTTCCACTTGGACCCTTAAGAAGAAAGGCTTTCATCCTCCAAGACCGTGAAAGACCCATGTCTGTTTTGAAGACTGGGCTCCGTGTGACATATCCAGGGCCCAGGCCTTGGTCTTTCTATGCAAGACACCACTTCCTTTATGACTTGGGGAAACTGACCAGCCTTCCAAGCCTTTGCTTCTTTCCTGGGCGGGGTTCAGGGGGTGGATAATGCCATCATCATGAGGATTTAATGAGGGGACCCGTTTAAGTGCGTTCGAGGTAGTGCTGCTGATAGAGCAAGCTGCTCAGGAACTGAGCCGAGATGGTGAAGAAAGAAGAGGAGCTGAGCCCTGTAAGCGAAATCGTGGGTCACAAGGACCTCCTCCGAGCAGCGTGGTGCCACATTGCACTGCAGAGACCTGAGGTGTGTGGGCACCAGGAGAGCAGCTACCGCTTCCCCAGTCCTGAGGAGCCACAGCTTGCAGGTCAGGGCCCTGGGGAATTCATAGGCAAGAAGCACTCATTCAGAGCCCAGGTGTGGCCTCACCCACTCAGGGCTCAGGCACACAGCTTCACAGATGTGCATCTTGGGGTGACTTCCTTAAATTCCTGTGCTTCGGTTTCCTGCCCTGCAGGACCTCCTGTCTACTCACGGGGTTGTCCAGGAGATGAAATGAAAGCCTGTTCGCCTCACGGTGTGAGCACTGAGCATGGGTCTGGCACACAGGGAGGCCTCAATATCCACCGTGTCTTTTAATGTAACTCACATCCACAATGCTCAGACGTGGGTGTACAGCGGCCTAATCTTACCCTGGCCCGCATTCAGGGCCCCTTGATTTCCACAGTCGACCTCAATCCTTAAAGATGGGTGGCACCCCTGTCTCTATTCCTTGCAGATGCCCTTGTGTCCAGATTACCACTGATGCTTTTGTTGAGGAAACCAGGCCCTTCCTGACTGTGGGGGATCCTGGGTCATTCAAAAGATTCACATCAGTGCAACCCTCTGACTCCCTCTCACAAACCGCACTCTTTGCAACACAGAGCCAAAGCTAGGCTCTCAAATACCAGACATTTCCCCCGTTATTCTCTGCAGGCAATGGCCGGAGAATTCCCTCTGGAGTATGAATTTATTTCTGAAAAACGGACTGTTTGGGTAATGACTTTTCCCCTGCTCTGGTGGCTTTTGTGTCCTTAATGATAAGTCCTTTTCATACGCAGTCTCTTAGCTCAGTTAAAGTCTGCTAGGCCTGTATACCACATATGGAGCCTCACAAGGGTCCCCAAGTCTACATACCTTACAGGCTCATCAGCTACCTCAGGGTTAGAAAGTGGCGTCATGTGACCAGACTGGAAACACCACTCACCAGGTAGCAAGAAAAAGCAATGAGCCATGTGGGAAACTCCTAGCAGAGAGAGGGAAAGGAGGGAAGAAGGGACGGAGACAGCGAAGGAAACAGGAAGGGAAAGAAGGAGCTTCTAGGTTCCCAACTGGAATCCGATCAAAAACAGCCTCCCACCAGTTGCGGGGACACAGACCTGCAATCTCAGGAAGCTAAAGCAGGAAGATCACAGGTTTGAGCCCAGCCCAGGAAGCTCAGTGAGTCTCTGTTTAAAATAAAAAGGGATATGATGTAGCTCATTGGTAGAGTACCCCTGGCTTTGATTCCCTAGTACCTTAAAAAAAAATAGCCTCCTTGCCTACAGTTAATGTGAATACAAACATCACTGTGGCCAGCTTCTGAGGGGAGCCCTGTGCCCTGCATCAGAAAGGAGTATGTGGCCACAGTGTTGTACTCAGAGGAAAGAAAGCTACATCCTCTGCTCTCTCCCCAGCCTCTTCCTTAGCCAGGCCACATGTGAAAATCCCTGTAGCCATGAAGCATGGTAGAAGTAGCCAGCCCATGTGGCTCCTCGAGGCACTTCCCAGCCAATGCCTCCTGGTGCTGTGACTGCCTCTATTCAACATTCAGCAAGCTATTAATCAGAAAAGCCAGCAACCAACAGAAGAAGGGGGAGGGTTGGTGTCAATGAACATGGCTCAGTTATCTGGTTAACTGTCTTCTAGGTCTCTGGTTGCTGGGAGATACAAGAGAAGGCCTCCAACCAAACCCCACATGTTCTCCTCAGGCACGTATGAGGTCATCTCAGGTGATCTCCTCAAGGGGAGTAGGTAGGAGGCTTGTTCACAAAAGGATTTTCCATGAAGAAATCCAAGATTCCAGAAGGAGTCAAGCTGGCTAATCCGCACTAACCGAGACACTTGGTGCCCACTCTGTTGGTCTGCACTCTCCCCACAGGCCAGTGCCCAAACCCAAACAGTGCAGGCAGGCCCTCAAGGCCCTTCTGACAAGAGGATCAAGCACTGGCCTGGGGGCTAGGACCAAGCTACACTCAGCCTCCTTTGA